ACATATTTGTGTCCAGACAGACCACCAGCCTCTGAGTTATATCCAACAGGCAAAACAGCTGAACGCTGGAGTACTTCGATGGAGTTCACTACTCCAAGAGTACCAGTTCACCATTACTCATATTAAGGGTAGCGAAAACGTGGGAGCCGATTACTTGAGCCGGTTATAGTTCTTAAGGTCTATGAGCATGTTATTTTTTTTTTTCCTTTCGTCGTTTGTTTTCTGTTTGTATGTGCATATTTCATTGTACAAGAAGTGTATTTTGAGTTATTTTTTTTTTTTGCTTGGTGCATTGGTTGTTTTTACATGTTGTAATGCACATTGAAGGATTTCACTACAGTAGAGGAGCGCACCTGTTCCGTTTTGTTCGTAGTATACATTCGTGCATTGTATTCTGTATTGATGGCTGCCGTACAGGGCTATTTCTTTTTCTTGTTTGCATGGCCATTGATATTGTTGCGTGTAACTGAAGCTGGTACTCTAACAATTGTTTTTTTTCCTTTTGTTGTTACTTTGATGCACTCTGCCTATTTATGTTGTGTATGAGAGGGACAGTCCTCATGTCTCCCTTGGGGGTGTTTTGTTCTTTGTTGCCGAAAAATTCCCCTCAGTGTGAGCCAATGTTATGAATAACATTCTGAAAGTGGGGGACAATGTCACGGACGGCCATTTTTAGCGGCCCCGCGTCACGGCAATTAACGGGCGCCGTACTTCCCCACTGACCATGGGAACGGCGGGCGCATGAAAGGGAGCCGAGAAGTGCAGAATGGGGTGCTCTTCTTGGAACGTCGCCGTCGACGATTGATCCTTTTGTAACTGCGGCGGCGTCTGCAAGGTCGTGGAAGGCCGCGATGTACCCCAAACAAGGATTAGGCTACGGGACGCACCGGCTGAGAGCCAAACAGTCTGACCGTTTCCCACGGGGAAAAGCGTGGGAAACCCTCCACTCTCGCTAGTTGAGGGCCCTCTCTCAATTAAAAAGGGGTGGTGTCAAAGTATTTTTGGGGCGGAGTTTCCATCAATTAAACGCGCTTGATTGGACCCATGTAGAGGTCTCTTGTCCCCAAGGAAGAGAGCGAGGAGACACGAGGGTGATTTAAGCGCAGGATTTTGCCCTGCTAGGCAGACTAGTCGCTGACCAACATGGTGTAGAAACAGATCAACAAGCATCTCTTCTAGAAGTTTTTAGTGTGGCTCTGTATCGGCTGGCCACCTAAACTTAGCCGTTCGTCTAGTTGTGACGCGATATTAACGTCTGCAACGTAGACATCGGGACTTCGCCTCGAGTTAGCTCAACCTGCTCGAAGTCACCTGCAAGCACTAGCCTCCCAGAGCCACCAGCGTTGCAACACCGCCGACATCGCAGTCGTGCCAGAACTCTCTTCGACTTCTCGCATCCGATTGTCGGGAACGCAACGCTGCCGGTCATCACACGTATGCCTTCACCTGTTTATATCTTCGAACTTTCTCCTCCGTAGTCTATTGTTGTTAGTTTGTGTAGTTTGTAATAGTTCTCTTGCGTAAGCTGATTTATTGTTTTTTATATGTATTTTTAGTTGTATCAAGTGTTGATGTATTTTGTTAGTTGTATTGAAGTGTTGTATTAGATCCCGTGTGCTGCAATATCACTAGAGTAATATTTGTTTTGTTTTCTCACGTCTCTGATCTCTTCACTGTCTCTACTTGCGTACGGAACGAACCAACCTGCTGTCGTTCCCGTCGCCGACTTCACGCTGGCGACGCTAGAGTGGCAGCTTGTAACACTGTCCATTATCCAAAAGCAACGATTCGATTGTGAATTAGCAGAATTAGCAACCCTCCTGACTGGGTGAGATCTACCAAAGGAGTCGGCAATTCAGGATTCGCGCCCCTTTTTGGCTGAGGAGGATGGATTTCTGAGAATTCAAACAAGGCTTCGGAATATCGTGTACCACAAGGGCATCAAACACCCGATTCTGCTTCCAAGTGACCACATCGCCACAGAACTCATCGCAACTAGCTTACACCAGAGGCTTCTCCACGCAGGAGTCGCAACAACCATTGCAGAACTCCGAGAGCGCTTCTGGATGATGTAGGTGAAGCAGTGTGTGTGAAAAGAGTGATCGGGCTGTGTACCTGGTGCACGCGATTAAGGGTGAAGCCTGAGACAGCTCCTATGGCGGTGCTACCTGCTTGACCGAGTTATGTGTCCGAACCGTTTGACATTACTGATGTAGATTTTATTGGACCAGTAAACTTGAAAAGTGAGCCAGCACAGAAATAATACATCGTTCTATTCATTTGCATGGTAGTACGCACAGTGTATCTAGAGCTTGTTTTATGCTCAATAGCAGACAGTTTCTAGGAAGCCTTTCGGCGCTTCACTGCACGTCGTGGATTGCCTTCAGTGACTTACTCTGAGAATTCTCTGTGCTTTAAACATGCTTCTCGCGAACTTCGTGCTGTGTATGACACTATTAGGGGAAGTGAGGTTGGCGATTATCTGTCTGCTTATAGCATCACATGGAAATTCTCTGCTGACCATGCTCCTTGGTTGGGTGGATTTTGGTAGCGTATGGTGAGGTCAATGTAAGACAACGTGAGAAAAAGCTCTAGGAAGGTCTGTTCTAGGTTATAGTCAAATGAGCACACTTCTGACTGAAATTGAGGCAACCATAAACAGTAGACTTCTGATGTATTCATATCCCGCCCCAGAGGCTCCAGAAGTCTTGACACCTACACATTTCCTAATCTGCAAAAGGTTGACAGCATATCCTGACATACAAGCTACAGCCGTGGATCCAAGCTCCCATACAGAGCTGCTTAAAACTTGGATACAGCAGCAAAAGCTACAAAAAGACTTCTGGAATCGCTGGTATAAGGAATATTCAATACTCCTTAAAAGTGCTCATAATAGGTCAGTCGTGGATATTTCGAGTATTACGGAAGGCAATATAGGGCTAGTGTGCGATGATGCTGTGCCCAAGTTGTGTTGGAAATGTGCACGTGTTCTGATAAACATTACGGGAAATGACGGCATCGTGCGTGCAGGCTGCCTAAAGCTAGCAGATGGCTAAGTTGTAACGTGGCCTATTCAACATTTGTGTTGCCTAGAAATGAACCCACAGCAATTCGTGGGCTGGGAGTGTTCAAAACGGTGAACATTGCACACGCTGGAGGAAGGGAAGAAGGAGGAATGGCACGTGGCACTTGAGTTTTTCTTGGAGCTGTGCCACAATAAACGGTGGCGGCGAGATACTCTGGTCTTTATCTCCAGGCGTATTTGTCCTTAAAACCCGGTTTTCTACGATAGAAGTCTTCGGATTTTACAGCACACTCGCTGTCTTTCGCTAGCTCCACATATATCATATTTAGTATCACGTGGCGTGAATAGATGACGAAGGTAAACGACACGTCCAAACATTATAATCGTGGCATGGAAGTCATGTACGGCATAATTTACGTCCGCCTCATAACGTTGTGCTGATTTGACAGTGGCATATGAACCTTCCTCATTCGTGCTTCGCATATCATCGATTCCCACTGTACGTGAGATCTGCAATTTTTTTTTCTCAGCATATCTTTTTGCGATGTTCCAAGTGCCGGTTTTCATCAAAAATATTCTTCTGAGATTCCTGAATTGTAGTTTATATTGGGTAGCTTCACCAGCTTTGTCGTTTCCCGAAATATCAGCATGGTCAGGTATTCATTGAAATGTAATGCTGTATCCAGCAGCCTTGACCTTGCGATGTAGATAGGTGATATCAGATTTTACAGGTTTGTTGATTCTTACTCTTATGCCTGTTCCACATACTTTGAAGAGCTGCTTTATAAGTTTTGCTTATGGGCTTTGTGAGTGGTCTAGGATAAATTAATTCACATACCAGCTGCTTGTTAAGTTGTTTAAATAATAAGCGAAAACTAAACAAGCCAGACACAGTAAGAATTGAGTTACCCTAAAGCAGTGGGGTAGCATTAGAATGTAATGGCCTTATTCTTGATGTGCTGAATAGATGAAATATTACTAGCAGACGCTGCCTGCATCGGCCTTGCGGAGTGTCATGTGTAGTTTCCCATGAGGTAATGCCATAGGTGATGTGAATATGTGTAAGGACAATGAGGTGTCAAGTGAAAAAAATGAACAAGCTTTGATGAGTTCTCTTATACCGAATGCCGTTTTTTTATTTTAGAAAACAATGTGGTTGTGAAGTATGAAGTGTATTCTGGGAAAATGCTAGCTGGCCTGAGGTCAGAGCAACAAAGAAACTAGGGGCTCTCCCCAGAGAAATGACGAGCGTAGAGACAAATATTTGTATTAGAAAATGTTTGTTTAGTAACTGCTCCAAAAGGTTCTTACAATGCTCGAAAGCAGGATTTTAGCTGCTGCAAAAGCTGTGCCGAAGTGTCTTTGGTCAATTGCATCTCTGTAGAAATGAGCTAACAAATGAAATAGCAGGCATCTCATTTAAGAAAATTGCATGGATATGCGGGTAAACGAACCATTTTATAAATGATATCAGAATCTGAGTATGCACCACAGACAATGACTTGGTGACCCAAGATAGCATTTGAATAACTTTAGCGGTTGGAAGACTGCATACAAGATCAGAGAACAAACAAGGCTGCCTAATACCTTACGACGGAAAAAAGCAATTGGGCAGCTGAGGCACTGTAACTGAAAAATAACGAATGGTTGGTTAGCGACAGAACAGATAACAAGGGAGGGGCGACGCAGCAGAGTATGGCAAAAGAGGTTGGCTGATGAAAATTTTAAATTTACACACTTGAAGTTGCATTTGCTCGTGCAATGTGGTATAAATTGGAGATCATTGGAAGTGGCCTTCGTTTTGCAGTGAGTGAAAATTAGGCTGATGGTTTAGAAGTAGACATAATTTGTCAACAAAGTTGCTTTTCATGCAGGGAAACAAAAATGTCATTAAAGAAATGAAGGGGTCGCATCAAATCTGAGCTGCCACTTGCTTGTTAAAGCTTAAAAGAGCATTATGCATTTTGTTGTGCAGATCGGGGAAATGACAACTGGCTTATCAAGTGCACCCGGCCAGACAAAGAGCCTCAGGTGAGTAACGCTTTGCCCTAGGGCAAGCGCCAAGCAGTGCAAACTTGCTAAGGGCAGAGAGCAAAGATGTAAATGTTTGTGCTGCTTGTGGATCCAGGAAACAGGCACTGAAGGAGCTGAGGTATGCACTGCTGGGCACTCCCTTTGTTCGTGCTCCATTGCCACTTCATATTCACTAGGCTGTTATTTGCAGAGTTGGAGCCCACGGACACCAGAGATCAAGATTGCTGCTATAGACAACGGTCTGGCATTCCCATTCAAGCATCCAGACTCGTGGAGAGCATGTAAGATGCCGCTGGTTATCTAACATAGTTTAAGCTGACCCTGAAACTCTCTTTAATGCGGCAAATAATTGGTCCAGCATATTCACCTGACACTGGACTAAACATTGAAGGGACACTAAAGTGAGGCATTAAATCAGTTCATTTAATCTAGATTCTGCTGTCAATTTTGCAGTCTTCGAATAATTATTAGAACAGAAAATTAAGGTCAAAGTTTCATTTTTGAATTCTGCTCCAGAACTTGAGCACATAAACATTAGTGTGACGTCATGTATTTCAAAGTATTTTTGTGTGTTTGGCCTCACTGGTGCAGTGAAATTTTCATGAAGCTGCTGGACTAATATGGGTTCTACATAATACGATATAAATCATTTTTACCGAAAAATTATTATGGGGGCCCTAGCATGCACTGTCATGCAGTGATGCTACGCTGCGCCAAACTGTGCTGAATTTCCCTGGCTGCTACACATTGCTACATTTCCTCAAAATTTGGTGAGTATGCACCCAACCTGCGCCGAATGGAATGCTCCAACATTCAGATACGAAATTACTTGAGGTTTTCCCGTTGAAAATAACATTGCAGTGCACCTGCGTAAAACACAAACCGAGCCAAGCCAAACAGGGCCAAATGCCACTCTTGGGACCATCAATGGTTGGGACGCAGCGAATGGGATTTTTCTGACTTTCTAGGGACTGGCAAATCGTCTGAAAAAAGATTCATAACTTTTTATTTTGCTCAAGTAATGAAATCTCCACAGGCCTGTCTGAAATAGCTTCAATGCCTCCTAAAGTACATTTATCAGGCATTTCGGTGCACGTTCGGTGCACGCCCAGACTGTCGTAAGTACATTCAGAATCTGCTGACGTTCATTTGCAAATGCGTCGCGGGATGAGTGCCGGCGATACCAGGAAAGCACGAAATAAGTTGTCGATTTATCGCATGGAGCATGTGGAAATGATGACGGAGAACAAAAACAATATGGCAGAATACAGGAACACTTGTCTGAACCTCCACGATTCACGTGTGCACTTGGAAAATGCGTCACTGTATGAAAATCTCCGGCGACGCATAGCATTGCAGCCACACGAGATTAATCGTTCCTAGTTGTGTGCAACACATTGCCTACACAGCTGACGTGGTTCCTACTGGGGTGCTTGCGTACGCAAGCGTTTGTCATTAATATGTGTTCTTGATGCCCACTCTGTTCCTGATGGCATACGGGTGCGGCAATGGCAAGCTGCTTTCGTTCGTGAAGGCACCGCTTCTGTGCAGCGCACTTAGCTGATCCGCGCAGAAAGGCAGCGTGGACGGCGACGCACATGAGCGCTTAAAAGCGTCCAGTAAGCCGACAACTGTGCCTCATGCAGTAACAAGCAGTTAGCTGAAGACGCTTATCATAAAGCGATTAAGTCTTACTGCTGTGCTTGCTGCATTGCTGCCATCACACCTTCGAGGCTTTCCGGTGCTTATCTGTTAGACATCACCTCACTGCGCGCTGATGCCAGCCCCTTTGAATGTTTCATCTGTTTCACCCCATAGCACTCGTGTATTGCGGCAAAGCCAACTTTTTTACATTACTGCAACGTCGATTGATTGTTAAAAGTACTTGTTTAAGCCTGCGAAGTCATAGATGTAGCAGAGATGGGGACTTTTAAGTAATGCTGTTTAATACCTGGAATGTTGGCTGAAAGCCCAAATAATAGGACACCAGAGAGTTTCAGCGTCGACAGTTTCAGATATTTTTATCCATAGACGTTGATGGGGCTTGTGATGCTGGCGTGGAATCGTCTGAATTTGCAAGCATGTCTGAAAAATCTTGCTTCTGAAAAACCGGCAGTCGACTGATCTTCAGTCACATTATACAGATGTGCTATGGTTTTAAATTTTATCATTGGCTTTGTCTATTAAATATAGTCAGGTTATCTGTACGTAATATAATTTTTTCTTTTTTTGCTTTATTATGCTTGAATAGCGTGAGCACATTGGAATTTTATAATTTATCTGTCTTGAACACAGTATTAAAGAAAAAAACGGCAGGAAGGGGTGGATGGGGACCTTGTGATGAAAAAAAAAATCGTAAACAGGGGTTATGTCGGGCCAACGTTTCGACAAGTGGACTTGCTTTTTTTCAAAACTAGAACAGAACAGTTCTGAGGAAGACAAGACCACTTGTCGTAACATTGCCTCCAGTACACAACCCCTGTTTACAGATTTCTTCATGAACACAATATGTGTTTTCAAATTGACTCTAGCAATAACTGCTCTGAAAACCAATTTTGCTGCTCCGAAATGAATTTTCGTCTGGTCCAAAAGCTGCTCCAAAGCAGCCTAAGCCAGTAGCGTCACTGTGTCGAGAAATCTGCAACGTCACAGTGAGCCAGTGTCCAAACTGGTGTCACTACCTGTATTTCTTTTTGTGCGTTTTCTCGTTTACCAAGCTTCTTCTTGTAGTAATATATTACTGTCACATTGGCAATTTTAGTGCCATTTTGAGGGAGTGGCACTGAGTGCACTTATGTTTTAGGGCTTCTAAATGAAAAAATTAAGTAGTAGTGCAGCATATCCTATTCAGTATTTTAGACTATCTTACTAAAGTATTAATATACTATAGTTATAGACAGCCCTTTAAATACACAAATTTGACCAGTGCAGCCATTGTATGGCATGTTTGTGCAATAGCAATGTTTATTGCTACCTACCTAAATGCTACCTGTCCTTGTAGCATTTAGTTCATAAGTGCATGGTGTGAAACCTGCGCCAATTGTGCTAACCTGCGCCAACTGGAAATTACTGTGCCATACGACTTCAAAGGGGTCTTTTTTGTGTAATTTGCACCATTGCTATGCCACAAGGTTGTTTTGGAACCAAAAGTAATGTTGACAGTATACATTGTGAGCGGATATTATGTTATGGTCACAATCTTGTACTTGCTCTGATACAAAAGCACGGAATCGGCAGATTCCGACTTCCGCTCGATTGCGGTGTGGTGCCTACCGAAAAGTTCGCCAGTATGACTTATCGCCGACAAAAAGCCTTTGTGTGTGTGTGGCATAGCGCCGCTTTAAGCTTACGGCACGCTTTTAATAGCCGGCGACTACCTGAGAGCGCTGAGGCACCGATCGCTACCACCTCAATCGTTGTGAGGGATCGTTTTCAGCATGCACCGCTTCGCAGAAATGAAGGCAACTCGCTGTTGCGGAGTTGAGCATTGTGGATCGGGGGCACTGTCACGTTTGGGCCTGCAGTTCGTCGAGGCAGACACCATTGTGCGTGAGCCTGTCGTGCAGGTGGGCCAGGCAGTTAACTGTGGCCGGGTTACAAGGAGCTCAACGGAAGCATTGCGAACAACCCCTTGTTGAGTGGGGTTCAACAGCGTGAAACAGCTTTCATGGAGTCAACATCTCAACTCAACCCTTGTCACCTACGTAGGGTCGTTACAAAGCACAGACAGTTCGGTAGCATGAGATGGCGTCGCAGTAGCAGTTCTCAGGACTAGAGCACCTGAACTACCGGGTTCTTGAAGGTTCTAGAACACTGTACCTCGACACAGCCATGGTCCGCTGCTGACGTTCGTGTCAGCGGCCATCTTCCTCACAGAGGAGCTCAGCTTTCCTCCTCCTCTGGACTCTACCTCCTTGCCCTGTGTAGAGCCTTCAAGGTGTGGGCTGGGTGCGTCATTGTGTGGTGCGCTCGTGCTACCCATTGGACATTTCCGCCGATGTATCTCATCAGCCGAGTGGTTCAATGTCTGGGCCCTTTGTGGTGGGTGGACCGCCAAGACTTCAAGCCGTTTGATTCGCGGAAGCAGTGGTCACCACCTTTTTCGGACTTCCATGTCATGAAACGATGGCCTATAAAAGCTGGTAGGATCCCACTTCTACGCCAACTGCGCCAAAGTGCACCAAACGAGATTTGCTGCGCCAACCTGATAAAATCGACGTAAATTGTGCCAACCTGCGCAAAACCGTCCATCTCAGAGGTTCGCAACCTGTGGCCCGCGGGCCGCATGCGACTCGCTGGGCAGTTTTATGCAGCTCCAGGCACGACTTCAGAAATTTTAATTCCGCTGGACACTGTAATTGCGGAGTATTTAAATAACTACAAATAATATTACCAGAGACAGCGGTAGAGTCTGAGGGAATTCTTTACGTTCCTGCGAACCGGCTTATAACACCTATATACTAGGTGTTAAGATGACGACTGCGTCTCAGCTGCTACCCTCTGCGCCATAGTCGCAGCGTGGCCAGCACGTGACGAGAGAGGAGGAGTGTTTCTTTGTGGAGAGGAGCAGATCGTCGTTTGAGAGATAAGCTGAAGTCCACGACAGCTTTTTTCTCTTTCTCTCTCTCTCTCTCTCTCTCTCTCTCTCTCTCTCTATGCGCACCGTAGAAGGGTCTCTACGTGTCAGAGACAGGAAAGGGAAAGGTGTGGGGGGGGGGTGATTCTTAAATGAGAGAAAAGATAAAAGTGCGCCCCATAACTGTCTGCATCATAGTGCGACACCTCAACAGTGGCTCACAGGGGATGGGGGTAAGGAGGGATTAAAAAGGATAGAGATGAAAATGAGGACGCCCACATACAGAAGTAAAGGTAAGATAGATAAAGATGGGGACATGGTTGAAGGTGTCGGAGGATGCGGTGCCACTCGGCAAGAGCTTCACGGCGTCAGTAGATCGCGGAGGGCGAGCCGGTCGGCCAGAGCTGCGCTGTCGTCAGAGATCGCAGGGGGCACAACCGTTCGACACGGAATCTAGCGAGCGAGTCCCCGGGAAGGCGTGGCACCGGTGCATTGCAGATCGGCGTTTGCGTACCTGCGAACTCTTTCGATTTTTCCATAAAATGTGCGAATTTCGATCACGCGTACGATTTTACGAATCTTGCCTGAAATTTACAAAACATCTTTCATTTCCGTTAAAAAAAAAAAAAACCTAAAATGAGTAAAATAGCATGGCCTCGACGATTGGCTATGGCGCTTTACCGTAGCTGGTCGCGGAGGCCACAA